TATTCACACCATTCGAAGTTCTTAAAAATAATTATAAAATAATAAACAAGGTACAAAAGCTCTCCTAAAGTTCTCATTGGAAAGCTCAAATGATCTTAAGAAAGCTTTTTATAAAATACCTCGAACGTTCTGAGATGATTTTAAACATTCACCAATATTACGAGGATGTTGTGTTAGGCGACGCGGCGATAATGTCCTTATTGGACAAAAATTTTTGTTTATCAACTTTTCGTTCGATAATCCATTACTTTTCAGTCGACAACACAGTTTTCTGTCTCTTCGGTGTAGGTTCGCCACATAATATGCGCCACATAGACTTTCTAATTTTTCAGCATCAAAGCGCTTCTTAATATCGCTGCACGTTTTCAAATCGAAGCACTGGAAGATGGAGGAGTTTATGCAAGTGAGGAAAATTCTGAAGAAATCGCAATTCACTTGGGAGTGGCCAGAAATGATTATTTTACAAATGGCTCACGCCGCTTACGACTTCCGATCTTAGACCAAGTATCCTCTGGGCAGAATATCCATTTGAAGGCGAGCTGAAGTGAGAAAACGAACCATTGCTCTCATTACACTTTTCTATAATCCATAAACACACCCTCTTCCCACATGATTAGAAATAAAACTGAGAGTCCGATTCGATTAAGACTTTGGCGGCAACGTCCTTGACATTTAAATTTCAATTGTGTTTGTGGGGCCAAAGGGCGAAAAGGTTAAGTACTTATCGAAACGCCAACGTATATTTTCATAAACTCGTTTGGCTTTGCAACAAAAGCTGTTTTATTAAAATTAATTTATATTTGGAACTCTTAAAAGCTTGTCCTGCTGTCAACTAATTTATCACGTCAGAGAAAGACTGCGACTGACTACCTTTTTCTATGAAAGATTTTTTTGCAGTTTTGACTGTAGTGAAATAGTCTACTTCACAACTAGGACTCTGTCTATTAGTTTATCACTTTCAGAACAAAATAGTATACATATTTTTGTTCTTTTACTTACTGGTAATTGAAACTCATACCCTTGACTATACGGAAATAGTCTACTAACTTCACAACTAAGACTCCCTTAATCTGTTTTGAAGCAATTTTGACATAAAACTATTAAGACAAACAAATAATGATGACCCTATGAAAAAGAGATGTCTTCACATTTATAAAATATCAAAATTCGTGGTAAGAGATGGAATTTATAATTAAGCAAAGAATACTCAAGCTGTAAAAATACTAAGAAACTAAAATTTGTGTACACTTACCCTAAAAGTATACCCCAAAACCAAGGCATATCCAAAGTAAATCTTGCGATCAATGTAATAATCGTCACCTCAGCAATTGTGGGCACGAGTGTGAGTCGCAGGATCATGAGCCACAGCTTCTTAAAGGCGTTCGCGTCAAGCCCCAAACCAGCTAAGAGCATAATATTTATCAGCGCCATCTCTCTGTAAGAAACAAAAGCACAAATGAGCGAACAAACAAAAAACGAGCAAAGTGGGAAGTTTTACCTCAAAAACGCCTCAAACTTATCGTAACCCGTGAAATCGGCCAAACCAACATTCGTGTAGAGCACACCGAAGAACAGCATGCCCAGCATGTCCGGCAAGCGGAGGAAGGTCACCAGCACCCCCGACAACTGTGCGCCCACAAACAGAAAGAATATACGCATGATCGGCATATGCGGCAGCGTATATTCGGGCAGCAGCACATAACCGATGATCCATAAGCCGATGGCGATAGCCACCAGCGCTAGCGGTTGCGAGATGAAAGGCCAGTGCTGGACGATAATGCGCCAGCTGTTTGTGTGCGAAAAATCGAATTTAATGCAAATTAATATAAGAATTTAGGTTTTAAACAGAAATTTTATTTAAAGTGAAAATGAAAGCAATAATAACCTCAAGTGATTATAGCAATTTTTTAGTTTTTTTTTTTTTTTTTAATTGGAAATTATGAGCGCACACTTGTCCGTGTTGTCACCAAAACAGTGCCGCCGCGGTGCACGCAACATAAACAATGTCCAACCGCTGAGTTAAAGAGCGGTATTTAACACTGAAAACACAAAACCCCGTTATATTTTCTGCGGCTCAATACTCTGCGATATAATTATGCATGCGCGTGTTGCATTTGTTGTTGTTGACGAAAATTCATTTCATTAAATATGCAGTTGTTATTATCCAGCTAATTGTATGAAATTGCCGTTCGTTTACATTTTAAAAAGCAGTCGCACCAACCGCTCTCTCCCCCCGGTAAGCACAAACGCGTCATGGGTTGCGTAGACACAAACTTCACTTGTCCTATATCGCGTGGTACTCGTGTGCCTATAAACAAATATTAATTTTCATATGTGATGGCTCAGCACAAACACTGCCATGCCTGGCGCATTTCATTAAAAGAGAAAATTATGTTAATTGTCAATTAAAAAGTTAATGACTTTAATTGGATTTCCAGGATTTTAAAATATTTCTTTTTATATAATGCCACATGCCCGGCTTGATTTTGCCAGCATATTTTGAATTACATTTTGTCAGCTGCAAAAGTTGTGATTTAAGAGTTTGTTATCACAAATGAGATTTCCTCTTGATATGATTTGGCTTCAGTCAAAAGAATTAAGCCGCAATTAAATGGATTGAAATTTTTGAGGCTGTTTGCAATTTTTCCAGTTTAGCAAAGAGCAAAAATTTTAAAAATATTTTAATAGCTGCCGGCCGGTAATTATAAACAAGGGAATATATAATGTGGAAAATTCTTATTTTCTACTTCCACATGTGTTCCTATACTGCTTTGTCTTTCACATTCATATCTGTATATCTGTATTATCTATAAGATTATGGTCTGTCTGATTTTTTGAAGAAATATGGACCGAATTTTACTTTCCTGTTTGTGGTTGGTGTATTATAATCACTTCAACTGCGACAGTTTTGTTTATTGGCCATTAGCAGAACACTTGAGAGAAGAGGTATAAGGTTTTTAATCGAAGAGGAAGCCGCAAAAACCTAAGTTAAGCATAGCAGTTCCCTCAAAGGAATAAAATCATTAGAAAATTATTTTAATGTAAATTCCAGATACGGTACTGAATTAGTTGAAAGTTCTTGATTGGCCACAACTCTAATTCTTGTCAGCACTGTCTGATGGACTCATTCGGGTCTTGATCGATACTCTGCTCACTATACGGCGCTTTGAGCATGAGCATTATACACTAGAGTAAAACCGCAGCTCGAATTTCAAACATTCTTCCCAAGTAAGTCTATTCATTAAGAAAGGTCGAACCAAGCTTAGTATAAATCAAGCAACCGCCGACAAAAAGTCCAATCCCAAAAAAGTATTAAAAACGCACGACTAAAAATTCGCTCATTGATAGTCCTTATTGTCATCTAATACAAGAGGTATTAGGTATATTAATCATAGTGAATTTTTATATCCGATGAGAATGCTGCTGAGGATTCTGCGAACAGAAAACAGTCACAAGTTGCACATTCCTTATTTGAAGCCCAAGTTCTATCGTTTTCCATGCACCCGGTGGATTGTAATTATACAATTTTGATAGGACAATTATTTTTTTTTCAATGGCACTTCTTTTCCGGAAGTTCATCTTTCAAAGCTTCGATAATTTTCTTACTTAGAGCCAAATACTCATGTAGATCTTAAAATTAAAAGTCTTTAAATTCGTTAGCTAATTCTTTTATCTTTCTAACAAACTACTTGTGAATAATTTCTTTTCTATTTGGCTCTTCGAACGCAGATAACTGAAAAAGCTTTGACTACTAACTAAAAAAGTTTAGTGAATTTTTAGTCCTCGCTGTTTTATGTAATCCCATTCGGAAACTTTTTGAAATTATAAAGGGTTAGATCTTTAAATAAAGACCATGGCTTCGCCACGTTATCTTTCAACTCATTGACCATATACCACAATTCCAGGCGCATACATATATCTCAATAGAATAATATCCGGCGATGTTGCTGTGGTAATAACTAGTATACCACCCATTGATATCCATGATGATTATACTAGTATCAGAGTCGTTTTTAAGAGAAGAATAAACTAAAAGCTTTAGAATGTGACAGGAACGGTAGCAAATTTGACGTCCTCTCTCGGCAACAGGTGTTACCTCGGACTGAGTAGGCTATGTAAAGTCCTTTCTCGACGAACAAAGAGCAAACTCTGTAAGTCACTCATATTTCCCGTCCTGCTTTATGGTGCAGAGGCTTGGACGATGACAACAACTGATGAGTCGACGTTGCGAGTTTTCGAGAAAAAAGCTCTGCGAAAGATTTATGGGCCTTTGCGCGTTGGCCACGCCGTGTATGAAATGTATGAAATATACGACGACATAGTTCAGCGAATTAAGAGACAGCGGCTACGCTGGCTAGGTCATGTCGTCCGAATGGACGAAATACTCCAGCTCTGAAGGTATTCAATGCAGTACCCGCCGGAGGAGGCAGAGAAAAAGGAATGTGATTTAAGATCTTATGAACTCGGCTGATGTAAGTAGTTACCATTTTGTTCAAAATGAGCCGCTGATAACTCTAGGTATAGATATTTCGGCGAGTCACTGCCCAGCGCGGGTCTTAAAATTCCTTAGGGGATAAGTTAAGGTATAAATAGGTGTTTTTAGTGGGTTAGTAAGAACTCTATGAGACATGTTAAACTTAACGAGAAGGGAAGCCTTGAATCAGCTTTCCCTCACTATCCAATGAAACACAACAATAAAAACTTATCGAATCATGGTATCATACAGACACACCTCAACGCAAAGAGGTTCTAATTGTGAACCAATTAACTTGTATTATTATGTTTGTAATTGCTAAGATGGATGGAGTGACGTTCGATCATTAACAACCAATTAATAGCCAAAATTTCAAAATCTTAATAAATCATTGAAAAATATACCAGAACTTTGAGCAATGGCTCTCATACCCAAGCAGAACTTTACCTTTTGCTTACCTCAGTAATTCGGCTATAAATTGGTTTAGAGCAAGTGGGCGCAACACATTCTAAAACTGAAGCTCAAAATGACGCCATCAGCCGAAAGGCAGCGAGAACGCATAGGTGTCGCGCGCGTGCTAATGCACTTCCTGCAGATCCTAGGAGCTTGGCCAATACTCCCGGAACGCTACCAACAAAACGCCAGATCAACACAACGCCGTACTTGGCTGGCGCGCAACTACCGCTACCTGCTGCACATGCCGCTTACCTTCACCTACAATACGCTCATGTGGGTGGAAGCGCTGACGCGCTGGGAACGCGCCGATCACATACTCTACATCTCCATCACCGAAGTGGGCATGATGGCGTTGACGCTGAACTTCTGGCGCTTAGAGCAGCACGCTTACCACTTCATGCACGAGCTCAGCTACAGCGACCACTTGGCGTTGCACAACCAGGAGGAGCGTCAGTGGTGGCGCGCAAAGCAGCGCTCGTTTACGCGCATTGTCGTGTGCTACATAGGTGGCGGCGCGGGTGTGCTTTGCACGGCATTCGGCGCAACGCTGCTAGTGAACGGTTACTCCTTGCCGTACGACTATTGGCTACCATTTGAATGGCACAATGCGCAGAATTATTGGTACGCCTACGGCTATGAGTTGGTGGCGATGTCGCTAACGTGCATCGCCAACGTCACCATGGATATGATGCTGTGCTATTACCTGTTTCACGTGGCGCTTTTATACAAGTTAATTGGCATGCGTCTAACGGCGTTGCAGCAACTGAGCGAACCTTTGGCCGTGCAACAGCTGATCAACATAATCGAGTTACATAAAAGAGTCAAACGGTAAGAAAGATTGCGTTGCGTACGCTTTTAAGCACCGCGCTCTTCATTAGAAATGCCCGTGCGTTGCGTCAGCAGTTCTAACTGTACTTTGTGCGTAATATGCAGGTTGACAGCGCAATGCGAGGTGCTCGTATCGCTGCCCATTCTGGTGCAAATCGTGCTCAGCGTCTTCATTTTATGCCTCTCCGCCTATCGTTTACAAAGTGTAAGTACAAGTGCATTGCCACTTTTATGTGTTATGTTTGTGTCTCTGTGTGCGTGTATTTAATGGCGCTCTCGTTGCACGTAACAAAATGCAATAAGTGCTTAGTGCCCTGGCTAGCTTTGTGATTGGACCACGTTGGCGTGCTCTTTGATTTGTTTTCACCTTGCTTTGCATTGAAATGCCTTGCAGATGCAAATCAGCGAGAATCCAGGCCAATTTTTCGCCATGTTGCAATTTGCCAGCGTGCTGACGTTGCAAATATTCCTGCCTTGCTACTTTTCCAATGAGATTACCATAAATTCGAATGCGCTGACAACGTGTGTGTACAACAGCAATTGGGAGGAATTTTCGCCGCCTACGCGTAAGCTTATGAATCTGTATATGGAGCTGCTGAAACGACCGGAACAAATAAAGGCTGGCAATTTTTTCTTGGTCGGCTTGCCCGTTTTCACAAAGGTGCCTTTATATATTTAACTCAATCCGGAATGTACTAAATTGATATAATATTTGTATATTCTATTATTTCCTAACAGACTATGAATAACGCTTATAGCCTTCTAGCGCTTCTTTTGAATATGAATAAATAAGAGTTGAGAAGGATGAAGAGATTAACCTCATGGCACTCAGCAGGTCACATTAAACTATAATCTATCGATTCTTTTCATTACAGTTTTGAAATATTAAATCATTACAGAGAGCATCCAAAATAAAGCCGATTGGTATTTAAAAGTCTAGACAGTATGAGAATGAATCTTACGAAAAAATCTTCACATTTCATGTCAAAGTAATATTAAAAAATTGTTATGCTTATAAATTGAGTAATATGTATGACGTTTGCACACATTTTCACATAAGTATTGATACACCGATTCAAAATTATGACTTTGCTGAGCTAACACTTCAATAAACCACTTGGCAAACCAACAAAATGCAAACACTTGCTGGTCATCCTTTTCTTTTTTACTTCACTTCTACCAAGGCAAATGAATATAGCAAGGAAATTGACGAAAGTACAATTTACTCCGCTAATTGAGTCACAAATTACGCCATTAAGTTGCTATGCTAGTTGTTCACACAAATTTTCAATAAAAGTATATGGTCTTGCAGAGCTAATACTTCAATAAACCACTTGGCAAACCAACAAAATGCAAATACTTACTTGCTGCTTGACACTAAGCTAATATAAATTGATAATAACTGTTTAGATTTATGATTAATAAATGGCGTACTTGTGACAATAAACAAATCGTTTAAAATTCGTTTAGGAAATTTCAATTTTCTTATTAAATTCACCAATGCAAATGCCGTATAACTAATTTACTGTTATTGTAGACAATTATGTGGCAATCAATTAAATTAAACTAATAACAGCAATTACTATTCCCACATACACACAAACACATACATAAATGTATAGCAAGCACCAACATTATTGCCAAAATATTAGTTGCTATGTAGTTCTTTAGCCACTCGAAGCGAGACTCCGCACCAAACAACTGAACGGTTCTCGATATGAAAATACATTAAGTATTGTAATTAGGCGAAGGTAAATGATGGAGACTGCAGCCGATATGAGCAGGTAGAATAGTGCCAGGGTAAAAGCACATTGCAGACAAAATTCATATATGATATAATAAACGAAAAGGAGTTCTTGCTAATAAAAAAGAGCTTCAAAATAAAAAAATGGTAACCTCAGCGGCACAGAAGCTTTAGCATGGAACACTTCATAAATGACAAATCTGTTCACACCTGAACTTGATTTTGATCGTTCGGATTGGCAGCTATATGCTGTATAGGTCCAATCTGAATAATCTGTGCGGAGATTATAGCGCTCATACCAAATTTCATGAAGATGTCTGGTCAAATAAAAAAAGTTTTCCTACAAGAACTTGATTTTGATCGTTCTGTTTGTAATGGTAGCTGTATATTACAGTCGTCTGATAACGGCAGTTTCAGTAAATGAGCAGCTTGTCAAAGAGAAAAGGATACAAACAATATTTCAGAGCGTTATCTTTAAAACTGAGAGACTAAATCGTTTATATACAAACAAAAGGACATTTATTTTATAGGGTTACCGAATTTTCTATATTGTTGTTACGAACTTCGTGCTAAATTTAGCATCAATGTACAGTGTTTCTGAAAATAGTTTGATGGATATGAATATTAACTTGAAACATAATTTATTTACAAAATGACAACATATCAAAATAGCTCCGAAAGACCTAATCAAAGCAATAGAAGTAATTTTTGTGTAGTGTTCTTAATTTATAAAATAAATATAGAAACTCACTGATTTTCTAAATGATAGTCGTGCCGTAGCATTTTCAAACTACAGGGCTTAGACCTCTAATTGTCTGGGAAAAAATTCTTCTCAACCGGATGTTATTATATTATATATAATATTATGTTACATACACAAGCGGAACGGACCTGGTTTTTAATCCTATCAAGCATAGTCAGCTAGGCAGGAATTTTCTGAATGCTTTACTTGACCATATCAATATGATATACCATAACAGGTCAATAGAAAAGTCCTCGGCTTAGCATATAGATGACGAAAACAGAAATAAATGTATATGAGTTTTGTTAGCTATAACCTTCAAACGGCGCGTTAATTTGACAGTTGTCAGATCATTATCTTGTGAATTTTATCATTTTGAGTGAAGCAACTTTTGTTATTGTAAAAAATTTAATAACAAGGAATTTCGCGTGTTGATAAAATAAAGCCTTTTAGAGGGAATATACAGGAAAATCAACCATCAAGGATTGGTATGCTAAGTGGACGCTCAAAAGAGTTCCTTAACGAGGAATACACTAAAAATGTCCACAAAATAATTTGAGATAATCATCAAGTGAAGTTTTATAACGGAAGCTATCAACTTGACGAATATTAGGATATTAGAAAACTATGTGCAAAATGAGTGGGAACACACTTTGACGACAAATTGATAGTTCGGGAAAACGATGGCAAAAACGAATTGTGAAAAAGTGTATACATATGGTAAAATTAAGAAAATATGGCCTACAATTTCTTTTTATGGCATTGACCCGAATAAGGTATTTTATCGGCGATCTTACCCTGCTAAGATCGGTGAGATCGAAGCTGCGGATATGTATCTGCCGATATCTGCTACGGTTATTACTGTCCACGCGGTTTTATGTGGCACCTATTGGTGAGGATCTTAAATTTCATACGGACTCAAGCATATGACCTCAGTTTCTGACTTAATATTTACTTGTTTTCAATACCTCAGGGTTATGGTTTACCAAGTTGGCTTTTTGTATTTCCTAGGCTTTAAATCCGTTCTTTTTCTTTACCTTAAAGGTGAGAACTTATATAAGGCAAAAATGGCGACTGAAAAATGATTATCCAGCAACCCGCCTTCAACGACGCGAATCGCTGCCGCACGCTTCATTGTTGCTGTGCTCAAAGCAATCGGTATTTGGCAACGGACGCGAATACTAAAGCACGTATACGGCTTAATGATGGATATACTCCTCACATTAACGCTCGTTTCGGCGGTGTTATTATCAAAGGAACCCGAGGAGATCAACAATATACTTCACAAAGGCGAATTGATGATTGATGAACCAATAACTGTGACTATTAATCGCCATTAATTTATCGCATTTAAATTATTGCATCGTTTGAAGAACCAAATCATCTAAAAACGGTCACATTTGATGAAAAAGAAAGTGATGTTTCACCTAGAAAATACATCGTGTCTCAAGTCAGTGAAAGCGGTGGCAGAAATCCATAAATTTGGTTTCGAATTGATTCCACATCCACCGTGTTCTCCAGATCCAACCACCAAGTATTTCCTGTCCTCAGAACTCAAAAGCATGTTCGTTGGAAAGAAATTTTCGTCGAATAAAGAGGTGATCACCCAAACTAAGGACTATTTTGAAGCAAAGAACAAAACGTGCTACAAAAATGATATCGACTCGCTATAAACGATGCAGCACCCTTACAGGGAACTATGTCGAATCAAAAACAAGAATTTTATAAAAAAGAAAAATTATTTTACAGAGGTTGGTCGGTAAGTAATAAGTGTTTATGTGCTCAATAAATGGCGTTTGTGTGACAATAAACAAATCATTTAAAATTCGCTTAGGAAAATTCAAATATCTCATTAAATTCTGCGATGTTTATGCAGTACTACGTATTATTATACACAATTATGTGACAACCTATTAAATTAAACTAATAACAGCAATTACGGTTCACACGCACAAACTTAGTTGCATGAGACGGAATTTTGCACCGTTCTTGATACGGAAGTGCATTAAGTATTATAATTAGCTGAAAGTAAATGCTGAAAATTGCCGCCTTTACGAGCAAGTAAAGTAAAGCCGGGTGAAAGGATAATAGTGACAGCTTTTAGTTAAATTTAGCAAGTGAAATTCATTTCTTACTACAGAAGATAAGTTCTTTGAACAAAATTATAATTTGAGGAACCGCACTTCATCTCGATCATGTAGAAATTTGCTTTCGAAATCTATAAAAAGGGTGGTCGCCAGAGATGGCAGATCAATCGTTTGAAGAAACGGCCTATCGAACAGTTCTATCCTGAAATTTTCGATGAAGTCATCATTATTAATTCTGCTACCGCATTCTTTTCATTTGAACTTCACATATTCATATCCCAAAATCTTATCTTAAAAGTAAGAATATTAAGCATTATACGTATTCGAAGATCCAGCAATCGAATTGTTTCGCCAGAAATCTTATTTGAGTATAGGTGATGCCTGTTATACCAATTATCGTTACTTCCGCCAATATTCCCATTAGTACTGAATTAGTTTTATATGTAGAACCGAATTTTATCATACTAAGGCGTTCAAAGGGCGCTTACTCTATTTATATGAAGCGAGATCGGAGGTGCGAATTAATATCTATCAAAAACCGGCTGTGTCTTTACTTTCCGCTTGCTGCTTTGGTATATTATGATAATGTCATATGGGTTCAAGTGTATGTTCTCAGTTAGTCCTTAATATTAAAACAATAAATGTTAGGGATTGACATGCCGGATTCTTGTTATTTCTAAGCTTGATTATCAGGAAACTAGGAACGAAATCCAGCTCTTTTCTTTCACTTACTCACGCCCAACTCTTCCATATATCCACACCAGACTGTTGCTGAATCATGTGCAAACAAACATTTCGCTCATTTCCGTTGCATAACCACACACAAGTATCCCTTACCTTAATGGTGGAAAATTATATAAAGCAGCGATTCACACTGCCGTCCACACTTTCATATACCATTTTCCAACAGTCGTATATGCTCCAAACGAAATGGCGGTTAAAAAGTGGTCAACACGCAATACGCCTTCAATGTCGAGGACCGCTGCAGCGAACACAATTATTGCTGTGCTGAAGCCACTAGGCTATTGGCAATGGACAAGGGATCCACGCCGACCATACATCGAAAAAGTCGAACGTGTATACCGCATTGTACTGCACATAACGGTATCATTCAGCTTCATTTCGCTAATGTTGGCGGGTGTGTTATTATCGCAGGATCTCGAGGAGATCAGCAGTATACTACACATATTGCTAACCGAATTCGCATTAGTCGTAAAAGCATTGAATATTTGGCGAAATTGTGGCGCAGCTTGGCGCTTTATGGACGAAGCGGCCAACGATCCCATATACGCTTTGCGCCAACAGTCCGAGTGGACCAAATGGCAGCGTGCCCAGCGTTCGTTTGCCATCGTTACGTACATATATTGTCTGGCCTCCGTCGCCGCACTCGTTTTCGCTTGCATCGGTGTCATGATGACACCAGCCGATGTCTATGTTTTGCCATGCAACATTTATGTGCCCTTCGAATGGCATCATCCGCGTAGATACTGGTATGTATGGACCTATAACACTATTGCCGCATTGATGACATGCATCTCCAATACTACGCTGGACATGATATACTGCTACTTCATGTTTCATCTGTCGTTGTTGTACAAATTGATTGGTTGGCGTTTGAGGGCTTTACGGCGACGTGCGGACGAACCACCAGTAATTAAGCAAATGTCCGAGATCTTTCAAATGCATGTGAATGTAAGGAGGTACGGTACTTTATTAATCATATAAGTATCGCATAGAACAAATTAATTCTCTTTTATTGAGTAACTTCCCAGATTGACGACTGAGTGCGAGACTTTGGTATCTATGCCGGTTTTTGGGCAAATTATTCTCAGCGCTTTCATACTCTGCTTTAGTGGCTATAGGCTACAGCAAGTGAGTTTTGGCAACTCAAAATTTTAGTTTTTAAATCCAAAGTGTTTTTTTCGAAGATTTGTGGTCAATTAGTAGTTAATGCACGAAATAAAAGCAAAGAAAATTGGCTTGACATTCGTAGAACTCTAATGCTAGAGATCTGCATGCAAAATTCGGCTGAACCTGAACTTGATACTTTTCGCTACTTTCTTCATTACCACTCTTCTATGTATCTAGATGGGCAACATGGAAAATCTTGGCATGCTCTTTAGTACAGTTCAATTCGCCACAGTGATGGCGGTGCAGATCTTTTTGCCCTGCTACTTTGGCAATAAGGTAACTGAGTCCTCGAACGCTTTGACAGATGACATCTTTAACTCGGATTGGACAACATTTGATGTGCCGACGCGCAAATTTATGATCTTATATATGGAACTTTTGAAACGTCCAGCAAATTTGATGTCAGCCAACTATTTTAAAATTGGCTTGCCTATTTTTGCAAAGGTGAATGTTTTTGTATATAAATATCTTGGCTGCGGTAGAAAATATATACAAAACTTTATGATTTCTGATTATATTAGATGTCTACATGACATATATAATGCACAAATTAGTTTGTCAAATATCTCCCTTACGCCTGTTTGTCTTTTGATTTTTGCGGCTGCTGAAGCGGAACGAACTCGACCCATTTTTGAAGCGGATGGTGGCTGGCGACGAAAAATGGATCACACACGACAATAGCAAGCGAAAACGGTGTTGCTGTGTGCTTAGTGGGATTGAAAGGGAATCATACACTATGAGCTGTTCTCATATAATCAGACGCACATCTACTGCGAACAACTGGGCCACTTGAAGTAGGCGATCGGACAGAAGCGTGCAGAATTGGCCAACAGAAAGGGTATAGTGTTCCACCAGGAAAACTCCAGAACACACACTTCGCTGATGACTCGTCAGAAGCTATGGAAGCTCGGATGGTAGGTCTTATCACATCCACCATATACCCCGGGCGAATTTGGTGTCTAGATGAAAGCAGATTATCGATCGAAACGGCGCATATTTCAACTAAAACCGATCACTGTTACACTTTTTATAAAGCATTGAATAAAGAGCAGAAAAGCGGAAGGGAGATATTTGACAACTTAATATAAGGAAATACTATGTTTCTAATTAAAAGTCAATTTAATTTTTTCATTTTTCAGACCATGAACAATGCCTACAGCATTTTTGCGCTAATCCTCAATATGAATAATTGAATGATGTAGGTATACGTGTGTTCGATAAAGGCGATTTCTTCGAAATGACGAAATCTTCCACTTCTTTTTAAGTCGGCTTACAAATTTGATAAACTGAAAATAACATGATTTTTCCAATACGAGTACGCTTGGATTAGCGAACATCATTTGTTAACTGTACAAGTTTAGCTGCTAAACTTAACTTTGCATATTTCGACTCGACAATAAATTTATATTCTAATTATATTGGTGTCAATTGTTTCAATATACATATCGGTATTATTCAGGGCAACCTCTATTGTTTGAAGCGAATAACTTACACACTTGTTTGTGCTAGAACTGAAGCGACCTTCCCAAGTGACATCGCTTTGCTCTATAGGCTTTTGAAAAGCTCTAAGAAGTTCCGACGTTTTCGAGCTACATTTTTTTCAGCGATGGGGCCCATTTCTTTTTCAATGAATATATAAAAAAGCTAAATTGGGAGAGATTCAAGAGCTACCATTTCATCCAGAAAAAAACAACAGTTTGGTGTGGTTTATGGTTCATATTTCTTCAATTATTATGACGATGAGAACATAATTGTCATCGCGCCATGACAACCGACAATTTGATGCCTGAAATTGAACCTTGCGATCTGTGCGACATTTGGTTTCAAGAGATTGGCGCCACTTCCCACACATCGCATTAGTCAATGGATTTATTGAGAGAATACTTCGGTGAGCAGTTATTTTCACGTTTTAGACCGGTCGATTGACCACCAAGATCGTGTTATACCACACCGTTAGCCGTCTCTTTGGCATATGTAAAGTCTAAGTCTAGCCGGAAAATCCCGCTTCTTTTCAGGTTTTGGAGCGATACATCACTTCTGTCATTCACTGAGATGTATCCGTTATTCATTGAGACCCACTGCTTATTTCCTTTTACCGTTTCGGTGAAAAATATACTTCTCTCAATGAAACAACTTATAGCTATTCAAAGTTTGGTGCCTGATGGATTCCAAGTGTTGTTTATTGGATATAAGATAGAACTGAGCATTCGCAGATAAAGGGGTGTTCATCAAGTTACTAGCGACAGATTCCTTTACAAGTTGTCTGCTTTTTCGTTGGCGAAAATATTTCTATCACTGGCAACCCAATTTATGGACAAACGAAGTGGTCCCGTCAGTGTCTTAAAACCTGCCTGGAATTTTTCGCTACGCTCAAATTAATCTTTGGCGTTGGCAAGGCTGTATCTTTCGATAGTTATTCAATAGAGCTTCTCTATACCTGGTACCAGAAAATTTAACTAGCAAAAAGTTTGCATCTAACGAAAATGTATATGATAACTAATTCTTTTTAAAATGTGTCTTTGATACAACAGTCAGAAAATTCTGCCTCCATGGCGAGACCTCTTCAAAGGGGTGGACGCTGATCAACTGCGCAGTGGCCCGAAATATGGTTGTCTATATTACTAGACTCCAACAAAGGAAATTTCACTAAGCTACTTGGCTGGCAGATGAATCATATTGTGACAGGTGGACGACATGTCTCCAATGTCCTTGACGTACATACGTATGATCCGAGGTCCTAACATCGACTCCGTCCGCTATCTTGTTGTAGCGAAGATACGCGCTCGCCTTTGTACTACAAAACACGTCTGTCAACAAACACAGGGAAGGTACGATGTCCGACTACCCGAATTAAACCAGCTAGTCAGTATAAGGGAACAGTGGGACTTTATTTCGAGTTCGTTATTTACAGCTGCAAGCGGAATCGTTGACTTTCGTAAAGTTCAAAAGAACAGCTGGAACGATAAGGACTGTCGTATCGCAATGGAGAGAAAGCAGACAACCTATCTCACAATACTGCGATCGGGGTGGCATAGACTCTGAGATTTGAAGAGCAAAGCGTGAATATGAAAAGCTTGAGCAGCTGACCGACAGGTATTCTGCGAAAAGATGCGGCGACTAACAGAAGTTTTCACGACCGGAGCTTACTCTTGCAAAGCACCCTGCGGTGATCTAGTGGTTATTCCATTTGAGGTTCATCTGATGTTGAAAAGATTTCACTTCTGGATATTCTTAGTACCATATTTCTCAAAGGACTGATTATTATTTATGATAGCTCAATTTAGTAGCTTTAGATTAGAGACAGCGAAGAGTCTAGAACGAAATTAGTTTGTACAACCCCTTCTGAATAAATAGCTAAACATTCAGTTTAAGCAATCTTAAACCATTTCAACTTAATATGCAAATATGAACTTACATTTTGGGACCTTTGTAATCATGATGCCCATCCGCACCCCGAGCATCCGGGCCACCGTCTCCTCCAACACCTATATCTATAGTGTTGTCAGCTGTTGTTGTACTCGGTAGTGTTGGTGCTGTTGCCTCCATACGACTGCCTGCCTGTCCTTGGCGGCAGTCTGCTGCCTTTTCACCGTCTAATGTTTGGTCCGGCGTTGCATTGCCATATTGTGTCATTTTGTTGAAAGATTCCGAGCGCTGCACTGCGACAGCGGCTTTTCCTGCAATAAAGCAAGAAGAACATAAACTTTATTGTGTGCAAATGTAAATGAAAGTAATGAGAAAAGCTTGCGCCACAACAAAAATTAACACGCCCCTTGCATTGCTCAACTCATTGTGTTGCATGCAAGTGAGGTGTTGTGCGCCGTATGCGCCCTTGGCCATTATTAAGGGCGCGCGAATTGTGTTTACTGTATAACAACTAACGGTGTAGCATACTTTTTGCCACATTTCCCTTCTTGTTGCGTTGCGCCATTATCTTGTCTATGCCCCGTTAAATGGGAGCTGAGCGAGCGCGCCAACTGCCTGACTGTCTGGTGCGCCAATATTGCAACGTTGCAACGCACCGACTTTTATTGCCCCTGCGTAAGCAAGTCCCTGCTCAGGCCGCTGGCATATTGTGGCGAGTGGCATAAGCAGATTGTCAGCTGCTGATAAGCACTGATTACTTAGCTGCCACTTTTCGCACCTGCCACAACGCGAGTCAACGCGGCATCAGCGCCGTTGAGGGCGTCAGGCGTAACAGCAGCAGCAAGAATAATAACAGCAACAACAACAGAAATAACTATAACAACAACAAAAACAACTGCAAAGTATATAATGGCAACAACAATAATATCAACAACAACAAGTTGTATAACACCTGAGACGTTGCTGCCACCTGCAACATGCCAGCCGTCCGCCGCAGCAACTGCTTCCGCCGCCCATGTGCATGCCAGCTACAGAGCGTGGCGTCTGAACTTTGGTCGCTTAATTGGCTTCATTTCGCTTCCTTGCAGCGCATTTTCGCGCGTTTAATAATTTAAATTGAATGTCATTTTCGACGTGGCTGTCGCTGTGAGCGCACGCGGACGCGGACGCGGACGCAGCAGCGCGGCGACGGAAGTGGCCCTGTCAAATGTCGCAACACCAATTTTCCGCTCCATAGACAGCTGATTACGTAAGGGCGTGCGCGATGTTTTCTCCCTCCGACTTTTATTGCATGTAAATTAAATATTGCAATTAACCGTTACTTGTTTGTGCAAACATTTGAATTTATTGGTTTTTTTTTTGCGCATCGATCAATGTGACAACATTATTCTCAACGCACACATATACACAAGCGGTTACGCGTGTATCAGTTGATTAATGCCCGCTTTCAAGCAGGGCCTCCATGTTTTACCTCGCGACAAATAATGTTTAACAAGCGATTTTGATGAGGTGTGAATTATAATAATCTGCATGTTGATTAATTTAATTTTTTAAATTACTTGCTTTTTATCGTTTCATATATATATTTGTATGTGTGTGGATGTGCGCAACCAAATAAAGTTTCTGTCAAATGAATATTGTATAATTAATTTGCGGTAACTTTCCTGCCTCAGAATGTGTGGATATGGACGTGAATAAAAAGTTCGTACATAAAATATATTTTAATTTTGAAAATTGTCAGTCATTGCGGGTAGAACTAAAGGATGATTCATTTCGAGGTGTCTTACTTAAAAAAAAAAAAAAACACAGAAGCTTCAAATTTAAGGAATAATGATTATTATCATTCGAAAGAACATTCTTCGGGATTTATTATTTGAAGCTCACGTGGTCTATGCGTTGAGTCCAAGTTCCGATGACTCGTTCGAGCATTTCAAATGGTAACCGGTGAATGACATGAGTGACGTTTTTCTCCAAGGTCTGAATCGAAGCATGATTATCCACATAGACTTTAGACTTTCTATATCCCAACAGGCAAAGGTTTAAGATCACTCGATCTTGGTGGCCAATCCAACGGCCTAAAGCGTAAAATTATGCTCACCTAATCGACTCTCCATGGTCTTCGTGTACACTCTCAGCTACGGCTGCTATATTTCATGCTGGATGAGGTAAAGTCGGTCACATATTATCTAATAATAAATGATGTGTCACAAGTGATGTGTGTGAAGCGTGCAAAACACATTTTCTACAAAAGGTAAATAACGTTTAACGATTTGTTAACGTTGTTCAGGCGTAAAGCTCTCCATGATGAAATGTCATGCAAAAATAATGATTGTATAATACATTTTTTCTGTGTACAACACAAACACACAAACATATTTGGAAAATGAAGTTTTGAGAAAAGAATGTTTAAACTCACAACTATAAATCTAAAACTATTCGATTAATAGATTTAAAATTATAGTATATTACTTTTAAAAATATAAACTATCGAGATATGAGAAAAATATACTTTTTATTTCGAATGTCTTGTTACAAGATTTACTGAAACCGCTGAGCTTTGAAATTATCTTGAATTTTGAAACTATATTGTTTACCAGTACTTATTTCGTGCAACCTTGGTTTACCTAACTCAAAACTCCATATACGGAGTATATCAAGAGATGGTTGTACACCATGGTTGATAGTCTTTAACCTACTTTTGTCATTAACTACTTTGCCTCGTCAAGTGAAGTTTAGAAAAGTAACACGTGTGAAGATAGCAGGTCTTAGCATACAAATATTTTCAGGTATCATGTGAAGATGAGAGGCATGTTCAAACCTGTCGGGT